TATTTCAATTTGCAAACCATGTCACGTCCGATGTTGTTTTCAATTTCAACACTCCGCCAAACCATTCAAGCTGACGAAGAGCGAGTCGTTGGTATCAAGATAATGGTCCCGATCACACAGTGGCGACCCCAAACGACGTCATAATGATGGTTGCTAAGTAGAAGTATCACAATTCTAAATTTGTTTGACTTTCATGCTTAAAGTAGCTAAGTCTTTAACTCAATATCATCAAAAATCTTCGACATTGAAAACAAGATTTATTTGTCGCTTTAAATCAACATTGATGTTGTGATTTTACCGGGACATATGGAAGCGTGTTTGGGTCACTACTTATTGAGATAATATCGCAACAGATCGAACTAAAATATGTCAACTTCATGAGTTATATTACAAAAACAAAAAATCGACTTAATAAGTCGACTCGACGCATTAAATTCACCTCTAAACGACAAAAACTATGTCGATATGTTTACAAAATGCCAATAGTCGATTTGACTCTAAATCAACAATTCATATTTTAATGCAATATATAGACTTAATAATGTCGCCATTTTCAGTTATGTACCACGTGCTTAATTTCATTGCCCGAGATTGCTTATTCATGAAAGTGCAGCCAATGATGGGGTTTAACGTCCACTCGACACAAACTAGGTCATTTCGGGACTAACATATGGTTTAATTTTAGGGGTCTTTAACAGTGGGAGGAAACCGGAGGACCCGGAGAAAACCCACTAGGTTGGGCAGGCAACCTTACTCCTTGTCACGTACAACCGGGGATTCGAAACCACGCCAGTTGGCTCAATGACAGGCCTTATGATACAGTGCGCACGTGCTAATATGTAATATAACTCATGAAGTTGACATATTTTAGTTCGATCTGTTGAGATATTATCTCAATAAGTAGTGACCCAAATACGCTTCCATACTTCCAAAGACCCCACGACATTAAAAATGTCGTATTGTTGCGTAAAAATGTCGTGATGTCGGGTAAAAATGTCGTATTGTCGGGTTAAAATGTCGGGTTGTCGTGGTGTCGGGTTGTCGGGTTATCGGCCATATTATGATTATAAACTGATCCTGGTGTTGGTCAAGAAAGTTCCCCGGGATTTTACAGCGTGGTTCCCCCCTATCTGTAGTGCAGGACAAAGGGTCTAGCAAGTACAGTCTCTAGTTGTGTAGATGGGACAAAAAACACGCTCCTGTGTACACATTGGCGTGCACATAAAAGAATCCTTCACAGTTGAATTTCGATGAAGAAATGCCACGGTCCATTGAAAATTTCCGCCATAGTACTCCGCGTAGCGTATGCCTATCTTCAATAGCCCGATTGGTGCAGAAAAGTAGGAAAATTGAATGAAATGAAATTGTGTTTAACGTCCTACTGTTCTGCTCTGACTGGGCTAATGAAGACGGGCATACGCTATAAATTGTACTGTGAGGGAAACTTTGCCCGGATAGCGGCGCTACGGCCTATATTGAATTCCAACTGTCAGGGGGTCTTTTACGTGCTCGCTTATATGTACATGAAACCTCGATTATTCGTCCCGTCTAAAAGACTATACGTTATCCCCTGACAAGTCGAAACCACGCCGGCTAGCGAACCGGCGTCTTACTCACTTAGCAACTGTGACCCCCGGAGCAAAACAGTTGGACGTTAAACCCCATTTCATTTTCCTACTTTTCCGAACCAATCGGACTATTGAAGATATGCATACACTGTGCAGATTAATATGACGGCTAGCGAGCCAACGTCTTACTCACTTAGCCACTGTGGATCCCGGAGCAGAACAGTTGGACGTTTAACCCCATTTCATTTTCCTACTTTTCCGAACCAATCGGACTATTGAAGATAGGTATACGCTATGCAGAGTGATATGACGGAAATTTTCAATGGACCGTGGCATTTCTTCATAGAATTTCAACTATGAAGGATTCTTTTTATGTGCACGCCAATGTGTACACAGGAGCTTGTTTTTTGTCCCATCTACAATACTAGACACTGTTCTTTGCCAGGCCTTTTGTCCTGCACTACCGACATGGAGAAACCACGCTGCAAAATCCCGGGGAAATTTTCAATGTACATAATCATAGTATTGAGAGGAATATGGCCGATAACCCGACATCACGACATTTTAACCCGATAATACGACATTTTTACGCGACATTACGACATTTTTTGGTGCCGGGTGAAAATGTCGTAGTGTCGGGTTAAAAATGTCGTGATGTCGGATTGTCGGGTTGTCGTGGTGTCGCCTTATGAAGGGCGACGCCACGACATCACGACATGATACCAATCAGCCACCATAGCCTACAACTTTCCTGACCAAGAGATATGCACAACCGTCAACATACAAGCCATTTGTGTTATCTTCAAATATGAGAGGCCATCGTAAACACAAGGGCGTCCTTTTCAAGCTCGGAAATGAAGTCATCACCAAACAGCAAAGTTTACAGAGGTCCTCGGGGCTGGAACCTAAGCTGATTACAATGGGCAAATAATTGCTAGTCTGAGTCCATCTTATCTTAGTCTTACAACTAGAGTTATCTTTCCCTGGGATCGTTCATTTTTCTGGAAAAATACCGTATTTTAATGACATGCAGAAATAGTCACGTGATCAAATTTATTTCCGTAATATGCATGGACAAAATCTCAAGCAGAAAATCTCGAGTAGAAAATCTGAAGTTGAAAGTCGAATGTCAAAAGTTGATTATTGAAAGTGGAAATTATGTTGTTGAAAGTAGAAATTATGTTGTTGAAAGTAGAAATTATGTTGTTGAAAGTAGAATATTTACGACTTAAAGTTGAAAAGGTGGACGTATTAGGTTGAAAAGCACGAGCGGTATATGTTTCCCATATGAAAATGTCCATTTTGGATAGGAATTTTCTCTTTTGCTTTTTATTTTCTACTTTCTACCTCAGATCGCATTTTGAACCCGATACCCCGCCATAATAATATACTCAGCCAAATTAAAAACTTGACACTGATGAATTTCAACAAAATTTTTTTCTGGTAAGTCAAATAAATTTTAAAGTGTTTCTAACGATAGTAAGTAGTAAGAAGCCTTTAATTTCATAAAATTGTAAAGTCACGTGGATCACGTGATTTTTGTGCATATAAAGATGAAAAACCTGAAAAACACGTGCAAACACAAACTCGTGAGGTCAATCGATGCAAGTTTGCTTAAACTGAACACGCACACGTAACTTGAACTGGAAAAACAAATTAAAATTGTTATTTTCATCTTTGTTAGAAAATGCCGCGCCTTTCAAATGTAGAACGTCTACGTGCTGTAGGTAGGCTCTATGCTGGTCAGTCCGTGGTCACTGTTGCAAGAGCCTTTAATTGTTCACGCCAGACAATAATTAATCTTAGAATGAGAGTGCCTCAAACTGGAACTATTGCCGACCGCCCAAGGGCGGGAGCGCCACGTGTGACGTCACTCCAGGAAGATCAAGCAATACGATTACGTCATCTTAGAAACAGATTTGTCACTGCAACCTCCACAAGTAGAGGGATGTTTGGTGGAAGGGTAACTGCACAAACTGATCGAAATCGCTTGCAGACTGCTGGTCTTCGAGCTCGGAGGCCCTATAATGGACCAATATTGACACCTCTTCATCGCCGTAACCGACTTGTGTGGGCCACAAGACGCATAACATTTACACAAAGACAGTGGAATTCGGTTGTCTTTAGTGACGAATCTCGATTCACTTTGAGATTTGCCGATGGCAGGGTCCGAGTGTACCGCAGTCGAGGTGAACGTTACGCTCAAGTATGCGTCAGAGAAGTTGACCGATTTGGTGGCGGCCGCGTCATGGTTTGGGGAACTTAAATGCTGTCCAGTACAGGGATCAGATTTTGCAACCTGTTCTTCTTCCGTTTATGCAGAGACAATGCTCGACCCCATACAGCAATTGCTACCCAGAATCTTTTAAGAAATGCCGGTGTCTAAGTCCTGCTACCCAGAATCTTTTAAGAAATGCCGGTGTCTAAGTCCTGGATTGGCCGTCGCTAAGCCCCGACCTTAATCCTATTCAACACATCTGGGACGAACTGGGTCGACGTGTTCGTCAGCAAGTGAATCCACCACTGACGCTAGAGGAGGCCACATCCGTTACTAAACACTTTATTCCGATTGTTCTCCAAGTCTGTGAATTTCAGTTTGGGGGGTACTGTGACATCACGAACGTTATCAATGTCAAGGACTTTAGGCGAGGCGTATTCTTGCTTTCTGTTGATGTCAAGGTCGTCTGTGCACGACATAACACTAAAATAGTTGCCTTAAACCAAATATTATAAATCTAGTCCCAAAAATCCCGAGTGTCAAGTTTTTAATTTGGCTGAGTACTAGGAAACAAACCCCGCATTATGTACAGTTAATATCAAATAGAACTTGACCTAATGTTTCAAGTTAGTAGGCCTAGCTGAGTGGATGCCTGAAAGTATACTGTCAGACTTTACGAGTCTAACTGATTGACAAACATTCAGCTTTTATTATTTTTATGACTAAGGACAAACATAGCCAAATAACAGCCGTAGCATGTTCCATTGCATAGGATTTGGGGGGTGCATGTCTCTATTTGCATAAACACAAGACATATCCCAATAATCCAAGTATGTAACTCTGTTCCGAAATTCTGCGAGTTGATTCTTTAGAACTCTTTCTACAAATGGTCCCGTATAATCACTGACCCCTGGCACCCAAGATACACTATACATGTGAGGGCCTTTCACGGTTATAAATAAATTCTCATTTCGATCCAACGCACGCCGCAGAGCCACGGTAATATGTCGTAGTCTTTCACGAATAACATAGTAGTGATGGCGTGCAAAATGAGCAAACATATGAATAACAAATATATATCTTCCTTCGGCCGGTATATCATCCAATAAATTTGCTATCGATTTGGCTCTTAATTTCTTTTCGTTGGGAAGCTTTTCAACACTAGAAATTGGCATATTGTGCGGTCGCCATTGAATTTTCAAGTTCATTCTTTTGTTTTCGCATTCTGCAACCCGAGTCCACTTTTTAAAATTCGATGTGCCTACAGTTTGCTTACATTCTATAAATTTCCGTAACCCAATAAACCAATGCCTTGTAGTAGAATCTCCAGTAAATATTACAGTTGTATTTATCAAACATGTTTTAATATCCTCATCGGTTTTGTTAATTTGACAGTACATAGGGAAATATTTTCCCTTTGAAGCATAACCTGTTGGTGATGAGGTATCCCAAGTTTTTGATTTGGATAATCTATTGCAAATAGGTAGTAGATGTCGTCGGTTGTCTTCTTCTCCTACAAAAAAAAACATGAAACGAGTTTAGTACAGTTTTGAATTTTCTGTCATAATTACTTACACATTCAAATATCAGAACTGTTAAAATTAATTGTGGTTCCTCGCATATCATTAGCACTTTTACAGGACAAATAGATTATAGTTAAAGTAGCTAAGTCCGTAATTCAATATCATCCAAAATCCTCGACATTGAAAACACGATTTTTTTTTGCAATTTAAATCAGCGTTGGTGTTGGGATCTTACCTGGAAAAGATGGGCTTCTGATATCCAATATTTAAGACAAAAAAAAAATTTAACCATTGGTACACGAATCGTGTACCATAATGCGTTTCAGCGCCATTTGTAACAAGGTGCTCAAAGAATGAGGCTAGACATATTGCACAAGTCATGTCAAACGGTGATATCATATTCTTTTTTGGAGAGCATGCGCAATAAATAATATCGGTGTTGACTGGAATAACCAGACGCTAGAAACTGACTTGCCGTTGAGACTTCTGGCGTATTTCGCCGAACATAACTGATGACAATTCACAATAAAACGGACACGACTGAATGTAAAACAGTTTATATAAATTCATATTACATTATTATATGTGTTGCGACCCATTTGTGCCAATTTCTAGGTACAAAATATTAGCGATTTAGCTCCTTTAATCCAGTATACACCAACATTTACCAACTATATCGCAGTAAAGTAATTAAATATGGGCAGATGGCTTTGGTATCGGACTCGGGGTTGATAACTATTATTCAGAGTTTATTTCGAACAATCAGATTGCAGTGTGCTAATGAAATACACGCAACTGTTTGATTAATGTGGACGACTGGTATAATCAAGAAATTTTATAGGTGGTTGAAATATGGTGCACACAACAATGAAATATGACTGACCTTTTACTTTAACTTTTAACGCTTTAAATAATCTCAACGTCTTACCTCTGAAATGATAGCATTGTATTCTATATTATTGAGATATCAGAAAACTAAAATCGGTGGCACATCCTTCATTTCGCTAAGAAATTGAACGAGGTGAGATAGAGGGCTTGACAAACAAAAAATCATACAAAATTTATTAACTAAATCTGGAAACAAGAAATGCAGTATGGAGTTTAGTGCGTTAAAAGTGCACTATTATTATTATAATTCACAGAAATAAAGAATTCAGTTAATAGCTCAGACTTCGGAGATTCAATCACCCGCACAGAATACCTGTTCCAGTGCCGGACTGGGCCCACCTGTCCGTGACAGGCTTAGGCCCACTTAAAAAAAGTGGGCCTAATGTAGCACCATAAGCCTTCTGTCTGACGTGGAGAGCGTCTATGGGAAACCGGTCGCCACATCCTACGTATGACCCATGCATCTTTTCTTACTACATATTTCTGTAGCCTTGTGATCGTCTAGGATTTGTCTCTAGCTGTCTTTACTTCTGCTTCACGTTGTGTATTTACTTCTTCCAGTTTCTTAAGACGTTTGTCTTACCAGGAATAATAATGCATAGTTCGCTTCTACATTTTATATATAGCATATAACTGAATACAGGTATACAAGCATAGCACAAATTACAATACTATATAGCTAAAACCACTTCTCCACCCTATCCAGCCTCCCGGCTGTCTAGGAACTCAGATGTACCCTCGATCTCTGGAATCTAATGCAAGTCTGACTTACAGGGTTCCCCGGTTTCTTTTAAAGGTAAATGAATATCATGCACCATAAAGCGTGATCATGGCCCTGAACTTGTGTAATTAACAAAATGATTGGTTACTTTAAAAAAAATGATGCAATTAGAATAATTCCACTCACGTGTAATTCAGACTAAGTTGATTTAGTGCACACTATATATGTGAAATTACTAACTTGCCAAAGATATTAATTAATGAAATATAAAGGCATCTTATTTCAAGAGCAAAAATTCTAGCAATATTATTACACTAAGCCTATAAAGAAAAAAGAGAAAGAAAAAAGAAAAAAAGAGAAAGAAAGGAGAGGTGGAGGAAAGAAAAGAAAGAAGGAAGGAGGGGACAGGACACAGGAGAAAGAAAAAATAGGGAAAAAATGACTGACAAACAACACAAAAAAAGAAGTGTACTAGAATTCTCAAATTCATCTTATGAAAGTGCTTTTAGGTCATTCTGTTGTCTAATTGTATCAGGAAATCAAACATTTGCCTTCTTCTGCTTTGGTCTGAAATGCTTGGGAAATGGGTTTGCGGTTGTCAATTTTTGCGCGCTCGTGTGGACCTTTGGCCCACCAGTCCGGCACTGCTGTTCAATAGTAGGTGTGGTTCTGATATTGTAACTGTGTGAAATACTTGACGCTTGACAGTTGTAATTAATTGTACCCCCAAAAATCCATAAAACGACTAGTTAAAAGAGTCAAGTGACTCGTTTGGTAAAGTGAGTTCTTTGACAACTGTTTTGAATCATGTGACACAACAGATGAGTAACGCCATTAACTGAAGCGAGTCAAATGTCTAGTAAAGTGAATCAATGCAAATAGATTTGAGTCTATGACTAGCCAACACAAGCCCGAATCGTATTAAAATTATATTACAATTTCATTTTCGTTATTTTTTACTGATATTTTTGTCGGTAATTACTAAAAACAAATGCCAACATCTTTGTCTGATGTGTACATCTTTGCATCAGTGTGATGATGCGTTGGTCTTTTGAACTAATCAACTGGTTAGCCGACCAATTAAACAACATAGTATATGTCTAAGCCTGTATGGTCATTATGGTGTCGGTTTAAAAATGAATAATATCGAAATATTTTTTTCAAAACGAGGCAAATGAAATGAAATGAAATGGGGTTTAACGTCCTACTGTTTTGCTCCGAACTGGGCCAATGAAGACGGGCATACGCCATACAGTGTGCTATGAGGGAAATTTTGCCCGGATAGCGGCACTACAGCCTACTCTTATATCGAATTTCAACTATCAAGTGATCTTTTACGTGCACGCCAATGTGTACACGGCACCTCGGTTTTTCGTCTCATCCTAATGACTAGACAGGTTCTCCGCCCTGCATCACTGACAAGGGGGAACCACGCTGGAAAATCTGGATGAACTTTCTCGGCAGGGATCGAACACCCGACCTCTAGACTAGCGAGCCAACGTCTTTCCCACTTAGCCACCGTGACCCTCCCCCAGCCCCTCTTTCAAACGAGGCAGTCCATATAAGTATTTTATACTACCAACTTAAAATACTATAAATAAAATACATTTTTATCTCATTCCATAAGTTGTTTATCCATGACATGATTTCTCTGGTTTCTGCAATGATACAAAACAAATTTCCCAGACTAACATAAACACTTCAGTGTTTAAATCATAAGTTACAGCTGATGTTGAAATGGTTTAAACGTCAAATAACACTTCACCCATCTCCCCGATTTAGGTGAAACTCACAAAGCAGGACTGTGGTCATTACATTGCCAATGTAATTAAGAACCATTCCACGAGAAAATCATGCAGAAGGTCCTAAGGTGGGGGTCGGCGGATTTTAGAAATCAACCGTTTCTGAGATTTTCAGGTCAAATTTCGACCATTTTTCTAGCATTGCTACAGCTGTTAATCAACCATTGACAACTAGGTTTTGGTTGGTGATTATGGTCTGGGTCTCACCCTACCATATTATAATGGCCACCCAGTGCAACCTCTCTTTCCGAAGGTGTCATTAGACTACACAAAATACCTGTCTGCAGATACCTGAATTATACCCTTTCTTCAAATTGCCAGATTCCACTTGAACAGGGTTTTTGATAAAAATGGAAAATCATTTATTTGCAGCTTGACCTGAAAACAAGCTAAAACGAAAGTGATTTTTCCTACAATCAAGGGCCATAATTCCGGAAATTACAATTCGATATGCGCAAATATCGAAAGGAACCAAGATCTTTGGGTTATAAACTTACATTTTAAGTTTCAACAAAATTGGATAAAAATTGTGACCTCTATAGGGTCCACAACCTTGATATACCATATTTTTATGCAACTTGAGAACGAGGGGCGGCCATTTTGTCTGTCAGTTTTGGGCCGATTTTCACGAAATTCGAACTCAGCCGTCCTTAGGGTGCAACGGTGATATAATAATACGTTTTTTTTTAAATCGGATAAAAATTATGACCTCTATAGGGTCCACAATCTAAAAACGCGATTTTTCGAACAACCAGGGGCCATAATTCAGGAAGTTACGGTCCGAAATGCGCGAATATCGAAAGGAACCGACATCTTTGGGTTATAAACTTACATTTTAAGTTTCAACAAAATCGGATAGACATTGTGACCTCTATAGGGTCCACAACCTTGATATACCATATTTTTACGCTATTTGAGAACGAAGGACGGCCATTTTGTCTGTCAGTTTTGGGCCGATTTTCACGAAATTTGAACTCAGTCGTCCTTAGGGTATAATGGTGATATAATAATACGGTTTTTTTTTTAAATCGGATAAAAATTATGACCTCTATAGGGTCCACAAGCTAAAAACGCGATTTTTCGTACAATCAGGGGCCATAATTCAGGAACCGAGATCTTTGGGTTATAAGCATACATTTCATGTTTAAACCAAATCGGATAAAAATTGTGACCTCTACAGTGTTCACAAGCTAAAAACGTGATTTTTCGTGCAATCAGGTGCCATAATCCATTAAGTGCCAATATCGAACGGAGCCGAGATCTTAGGGTGATAAACCTATATTTCAAGTTTCATTGAAATCGGATAAAAATTGTGACCTGTAGATTGTTCGCAAACAATTGTGGACGGACGGACGGACGGACAGGGGCGACGACAATATACGCCCACATGAAAATATGGGCGTATAAAAATAAAATCTCTGTCAACTAACCTTCAACAGTATGAAACTTTGTGTCGAAAGTTACGATATTCGTCCCGTCGATTTCCGGTTGGGATTTCGCCCGTACATTCTGGGCATGTCCTGCGCTATGGTGTACTGATTGTATAACTATCACTCATCCCGATTATCGTTGATAATAGGCTGGATTGATTACACACTTAAATGATCAGGGTATTTATCGTGTTATCGTGTCAATACACCTATCTGTTTACCTGCTTAATCTGCCTTGCTTGACTGACTTATTCCTTTGTCGGGAAATTCATCAATCTAATCTTGAACAGAAGTCATTACTTCTTTTTTGTCGGACTATCTATCAATCCAATAAGAGTTAGTATCAACCTTATCTACGTGATTACCTCGGGGGTTTCTCCGTTGCCGGACATTTTAATCTCAATGATATCAACATTAAGCCAGCGGATTCTTTTTCCCCACGGGTTTTTTCTATCCGCTCTGATGACGCCTAACATCAGTTAGTTGGACCTCCTGTTTTAACTTTATTATGACAAAGGGGGAAGATGCCCCGCCCCCTCTTCTCACGTCAGCGAGTTTATAAGTGTGCTTTGAGGAATTTTTGGTATCTGAGGACTTCTTTTTTTTTTAATTTGTGTTTTTAACAATTTTCAAGCGTAAATAATTTAATTAAATCAACCTATCCATGTTATTATATTCATTGTATTGGACGTTAAATCTTTAATAAACAACAACAACCGACACCCCGTAGAAACTAGTACATGATGTCACATATTATACTAATAGTATATATAACACCCCAAATCAATGGACAGTCATTATAAATTTCAAAACCTCTTTATATTATTAGCTATAAAACCTTTAACTTATTTATTTTCCGTAATGAAACTACGTCTTTTAAGACACCATATATAAATTTCCATCTACAGTGGCACTTTCCCGCGATCGCTTACCATATAAGGCACTGCTTACTACGAAACTATATGATAAATGTTAACGGTCACGTACGCCATACGCTGAAGTTATGTATGCCTTTTACAAGTAATTTAACTATTAATGTAATTTTAAATTACTACTTTACGAAAATATTTTGACATCGCCACAAGTAATTCTTATTTTGGACGACTTTCTTTCATTTCCTACCGTATAAATGAAGATTCGTAACTTTGGAGGAATATTACTGGCGTGAATTTCATTGAAGCAGGCATGGATCAGCAAGCTTTCATTCTATCGTATTACGAAAACACGTAATTTTGTAGGAATATTAATGACATAAATTTGAATACCATACCGGAATGAAATATGAATAACCGGTTGCCATGCAAGGTACACTCACATTTTGCAAGAGATGGGCAGAGAACAAGCAAAATAAAAAGCGATATTTCATACAATCAGGGACCATCATCCAGTATATTACAGTCCAACATACGACAATATCAAAAGGAGCCAAGATCTTAGGGATATAAAAGTATATATAAAAGTTTCATTAAAGTCGAATAAAAATCAATTACAAGCTAAAAACGTGATTTTTCGTATATTTAGGGGTCATGATTCAGCACGATACGGTGTGATATGCGCGAATATCGAACGGAAACGAGATCTTTGGATATAAACATCGGATAAATATTGTGATCTCTAGGGTGTTCACAATCTTGGAATTACATACTTTAACACTATTTGCCTTAGAGGAGCGACCATTTTGTTAGACAGTTTCGGTCCAATTTTCACATAATTCGAACTCCGCCATCATTAGGGTGAATCGGTGATATAACAAACCGTTTTTTATTTTTTAAAAGTGATAAGAAATTGTGACCGCTAGAGAAGCTACGAGCTAAAAACGCGATTTTTTTGTACAATCGTGGGCCATACTCCAGACAGTTACCATACGATATGCGGGAATATCGAAAGGAACCGAGATCATCGGGTTATAAACATACCTTTTACGTTTCATCAAAATCGGCTAAAAATTGTGACATCGAGTGTCCACAAGCTAAAAACAGGATTTTTCGTAAAATCGTGGTCCATAGTCCACGAGGTTACGGCTCGATACATGCCAATATCAAAAGGAACCGGGATCTTAGAGAGATAAACCTATATTCCAAGTCTTGTTGAAATTGGATAAAAGTTGTAACCTGTAGAGTGTCCAAAACAAATATACGACAATATGCGTCCAAACGAAAATTTTATAAAGGAGAAAAAGATGTGTTGACATCACAAACGATTCTTATTTCGGAAGTTCTACATCCATTTGCTGTGGTATAAATGTAGGCACGTAATTTTGAAGGAATATTACTGTTGTGAATTTGAAGCCAAAATAGCGAAGTGTTCCTATTACATGCGGATTTGAATATTTTGTTGACTTTCATAAAGAAGAAAAAGATGTTTTGACATCACAAACTATTCCTATTGTATTACGAAAACGCGTAATTTTGTACGAATATTAATAACATACATTTGAATACCATACGGGAATTAAATATGAAAAATACTTTGCTGTGATATGAATCAGCGTGCTTAAATAGCCATAAAAGTTATGCCCCTTTATTTACGGTAAAGTGTCTGACAAGAAAATTTTTGACATACCAACTCTTTTGTTTTTTCAATATTTTCAAATGAGATATGGTTTGTCGATAGAGCTACGTGTACACTTCGAATTGTATACCTGGTGACCTCGAGATTGAAGGTTACGTCAAATAGGCGATTTGGTTCCCCCTTGTCAGTGATGCAGGACGGAGGGCCTGACAAGGACAGCTGTCTAGTCGTTCGGATGGGACGAAAAACCGAGGTCCCGTGTACAAATTAGCGTGCACGTAAAAAATCCATTGGCAGTTGGAATTCGATATAAGAGTAGGCCGTAGCGCCGCTGCCCGGGCAAAATTTTCCTCATAGCACACTGTATGGCGTATGCCCATCTTCATTAGCCCAGTTTAGGAGCAAAACAGTAGGATGTTAAACCCCATTTCATTTCATTTCATTTCATGATTGAACTGCTGGTATGCGAATATGCTACTTAACTTAACATTTGTGAAATGTAATGAATTTTATAATCTTATGACAAATGTGTACACAAGACTATGTCAGTGGGAAATAATAAACAAAAAAAAAGTGTTTTGTTATGGTGTTATATACAGATTAAAGATACATTAGGATTATCCTTTGAAGGTTTGACAAGATGTGTGCATTAATTGTAACCACCGTGTTGGTTGTTCGAAGCAAAAGATCCTTTGACAGTTGGAATTCGAGATAAGTGTGGTCCGTAGAGCCACTATAGGCCTTTGGACATATTTTCAAATCCGTCTGTAGCCCTGATAAACACATCGGTGCCACCTATACGTCATATCTGAAATCTTGAGGTCGTTCCTCTTTTAATGCAATTAAATCAACACCCGTTGATATTTTATTTTTTAAATTAACTATTTATATTGAATTTGAGTATAACTTAGCGTGTATTAAGACGTGCAAAGTTAGATATGATGATCAGCGATTTTAATACACTACTGCATACATACCTTCCACGTAAATACTGTTGGCCATTGGCTATAGCTACATCTATAAAATGATAATCCATAATCGATACCACATCCAGACATGATAAATTTCTTGACGGAGGTGCCCCACAATACCACTCATCATCACCATTTTCATAGGTCATATTACATATAACATCATATCCTGGTATATTTGGACGAGATGAACACAATGTAAACTGAACTTCACTGCCTTTTGTGAACTTCGCTTTATAATAAAACAGCGCATTGAACTGTCGTGTCCATGTTAGAAATGTAACGCGCTCTTCTCGAAAATATGGCATGTATATAATAACATTGTTTGTTCCATTCCATAAAGTAGGAATAGTTATAATATAAGTACCATTATTATAATCCTTTACACGGCCAGCTATTGTCAGCTGTTTATTTATTTCAACCATCCTTACTCGAACATCATCCCCACCACGTTTAACCTTGTCACCATATCCATTATAAAGCTCAAGTTTTATCAATATATCCTCACCAACTTCATAAACACCTTCATTGGGTATCATCGCCTTGACATCCGATTTTACCGCATTAGGGAGTCGAAGCGCATCTTTAACAGACTTGTCTTTCAATGTTATCATTTCAAAAGGAAGCAGTTCTTCTTTAGATATCATTGTATTGTTAAACACCGTTTGGAAGTTCAAAACAGGGTTTGATTTAAAACAAAGACAGTCGTCTCCCTGGCACGCTGATTTGTTTTTGAGTGAATTTGGACATTTAATTGGGCAACCAGTACAGCCCTTTGTTAAGCTCATGTTCTGGTCTATTTCAGCTTTGTATATAAAATGCTGTGATAGTGTGGATACTGGAGTTTGCGGCCATATCGTGGATACAAGCTGAACATGATTTATGTCAAGTAGATTCCTGAAAAATCGAGAACATGTTAAGTCGTATATAGGTTAAGATCAAGCTGAAAAAATAAAAAGAGAAATTAACCCATCTTGTCATCAATTATTTTAAATTAGATAATCCGTGAACATCATTAAAAGGGGGAATAACTATAACACTTACCTATTGTTTATATTCAGGTAATACAACACGTAAAGACCCGACACAAAAAATACGGCATACGCATATCTTTTCACACTGGACATCATTACTTCACTTATCTACAACAGAGATATGATATACTCTGTCTTGCAATAAAAAGTAGAACTAGAACTTTTACAACATCTGGACGTTGCTAGAGTACTTCACAATTCCCGAAATTATAGCTACGTTATCTACAGACGCGTGAACAGTAGCGTCCAATCAGAGGTTGTGACATCCTGACCTCCACGGAAGCCTTGACACTGAACGAACATGGAACTTTGCAACTTGATTATCACAGGTAGGCAGCCAGTCAAAACAATTGAAACAGATGATAGGTTGTGGGAGGACCAAGCGCTCTACAGAGTTTGTGTTCAGACTCAATTTTGTCGATCACCAGTCGCGAATGCTTGTTCATCTGTTGGGTGTACCCGTCTTAGAGTGAAACTTAAAGGTTCAGCGCTCGTAACCGCAACCGCATTTTGCTAGCTCGCCCATTTCCATGTCTACAATAGCAATTACGCCACGAAAACTCTAAATCAGTTGTATTTATATTTTGTACTCACCTTACACCATGTATAATAAGTGATTTTATAGATAATACTATATTTACTAATATTATACAATAGCCGTTTCAAGCATACACAATTTAAATTGCGCAGAGATGCAAAAGCTTTATCTCTACACAGTTAATGATATTATGCAATAGCCGTTATCGAGCGTACACAATTTAAATTGCGCAGAGATGCGAAAGCTTTATCTCTACACACAGTTGGTAATAACGTAATCCTACAAGAAAAAATTGGCTATAACCAGTGTATTCATGAAGAAAGGCTTGGATAGTTCAAATAAGAAAGAGGTTAAAATAATAACATGATTAATATGTATTGTTCAATGGTCGAGAGCGACCAAGTGTTTTTACAATATATTACGGAATGTCTTAAAGGACAATATTGGTGTCCGTCATTATTACATATGTGATGGAACAGGTTAAATACATTCCAAATATAATTTTAACACAGAGATCATTGCTACGGGAGACGTGTAACAAGTACGTTAAGAAACGGGAAGTGACGCCAAACATGACAAACACGAGTTGTCCTTCTATATAACAGACTGAAGTAACGAGCGGTAAGAGACAAACGATCGAATTTCATTTCACTGATAATTCCGTTGAAGTTGAAAAGTTATTATATGGGACGGTGAGAGGGTATCTCACAATTCAAAAATAAAATTGGCTGTCACTAGATAAGAGACACGAGAAAAAGTAGAAAAATCCCGCGCATTCCCCCGTTTTTATTCATTCTGTTCTTAATAAAAACATGGTAATGTGCGGACTTTTTCTAATTTGTTCGCTTTTTTTTATCTACTGACAGACAATTCTTTTTTTGAATTGTCAGACATCCTCTCCCGTAGCAATGATCTCTGTGTTAAAATTATATTTGGGATGTATTTAACGAGCTCTATCACATATTTTATAATGACTGACACCAATATTGTCCTTTAAGTTCGAGATTAAACAACTTAAAATACAGACACTTGCTAGTGCTTTGCAATGAAATATGTCACTTGGGTTCAATATTTTAACTAGTTACACGTGTCACATTGCCCGTACGATTATTTGAAATAATGGTACGCCAACATCAAAGGATGACGTCACATCTATATTTTAAACAAAGATATTGAACCACCACGGATGTCAGCGAGAGCACCATGAATTTTAAATATGAGAGCAAGATTACTTGTATTATTAGCTACTAGCAGGATTCACGGCTTTACCCGTGGCCCAAATTCGACATGGGCTCAATCCGCCACAGTGTAACACTATTTTAGTGATAACCGAGATCAGTTTAGTAAATATATGATTTATGTTCATCGAAACAGAATATCAAACAGTTACAGAAGACGGCCGTCTTTCGAGATGGTCTACATTTTCTCATTTGCTTCTTTGTATTCAGTATTGTTGGAACATGTGCCCTATCTGTATTCATTATGCCTCGCTTCTGTTTAAAACTAAAACGTTTCACATTTGACTTAGAGCATTTTTATATATATTTCACCGATGTGGTTACTTGTATAGTTAATTTTTACTTCAATATGCTTACATTCATATTTCGCGTAACATATAGCAGATCATGACTCATGCTGGCATTAAACAATAGTTTCTCTGGGTTATATTCCTGATTGTTTTTCAAATTTAAGTGACGTCTGTATCACTACAGGCCCGGGACTGTACAGCGTAGTGCACACTTACGGCTAGCCCCCGCATCCATTCACTTAATTTGAATTGTTCGTTTGTTTGTGATTCCTGTCTTGTCCATATGTTTGTTTTTGTGTAAATTATGTGTGGTGCAGCCCCCCCCCCCCCTACACTTACTAATAGATACAATAAGAATTAAACTACATTGGGAACTATAGATACAAAAGGAAATAAACTAGATCGGGAACTAGACTACGACATGAACACATCAACAATATTACATCTACCATTCCGCCTCTCTGCCAAGGCAGGCACTGAACTCTGGTTCGTCTGCGCCTCGTCTCCGCTCTAGTCGTCTCGAGTCTCTGCCCGTCAGCAAACTCCTGATTATATAGCGTCCGACAAATAGGGAAAATAGATAAAACTCATGATTAAATATGGAATTGTCTTCTTATCACGTCATGGTTTGATTACTGACCAGTGCGTATTCCTTTGAAGTCATGTGGAGAGAGAGAGAGAGAGAAATGGGGTTTAACGTCCACTCGACACAAATTAGGTCCTTTCGGGACTAAAATATGGTTTAATTTTATTTCAATAATTCGCTTGAGCGTAGGGGTCTTTAGCAGTGGGAGGGAACCGGAGGACCCGGAGAAAACCCACGAGGTTGGACGGGCACCCTTATTCCTTGTCACGTACAACCGGGGATTCGAAACCACGCCAGTTGACTCAATGACAGGTCTTATGATACAGCGCGCACGTGCTAACCATTCGGCCATCCACCCCCACCCACACCCACCCTTGAAGTCATGTGGAGCTTGTACACAAATCATATATAGTTTGTAAATGACATATGGGATTTATTACATATTTAATTAGATCATAGCCAGTTCCTGCCCTAACAGAGTTGAAAAGTCAATATCATATATTATCAAAAAGTTCTAAGCGCCTAAATGATCGTTCAATTTGATGAAAGTTACATGACATTTTGTCAATGAGGCCCAAATTCTTCAGGAGCCACAATTCGCCCTTTAAACAAATTCTCGCGGGACCCAAGTTAATAGCACATATGTGGGGTGGAGCGCGACGAATCGTTATTCGCCCAGGGTCCTGGCCCAATCTGCTCGTAGCTCAAATTCGATGATCTAAAATATTCACGGGGTCATGCTGGTTACTTTGATCCAACATACATATGAGTGTGCAGAGCCTAAATTCAATGGCCTAAAACATTAACGTGTTCATGCTGGTTATTTTGTTACCACATAATGTGCTTGTAGATCGCGGCACACACGCCTCCATACTTGTACTTACACATATCTTTGATTTTATTTATATGAAAAATATCGTCACAGGGAGAGGCGGGGGTTTATACGTCAAGTAATCTGCAGAATAATGTTCTAAGCTCTGGTTTGCCAGTCATTTGTGCGTTATGGCCACATATTTGATTCCATATGTGAGTGCATGGGGATTGTGGTGCCTTCTCCGGCATGCGGGAGCGTCGCAAAACAGGGATTGGGATCTGAAAGTTTCTGTGCGTGTTTGTTGTTGTTGGCTGGAATAGGTGACTCAGTGGGTATGGTGTTTGCTCAGTATCCAGGATGTCCGGTGTTTGGCAAGAAACTTCCTTGTGTATTTTCTTCCCCGGTTCCCCTCGTTGGTTATACAGGACGGATGGCCTGTCGATGAAAAACGCCTAGTCCCTCGGTTGGAATGGAAAACTGGGTCCCATGTTCACCATTGGCTGCACGAAAAAAAGAGTGTAGGGTGTAGTGCTGCTGTCCGGGCAAAATTTCCATCATAGCCAATTGCATGGCGCATGCCCGTCTTCATTAGCAAAGGTACCGCACAGAAAAGCAGGACGTTAAACCCCATTTGATTTTATTTTAACGTCGACTAAGGTCAAAGACAAGTTAAGACTCGGCGTTCCTTGAATAAAAACTTAAAGGTTCAACGCTCGTAGCCGCTATCGAACTTTGCATCCCTACCCCCTCCATCACTGTATTCCAGCCCACACAGCAAATACGCCCAGACAATTTCAAATCATTAAGAATAATAATGCCTTATTACTATCAAGCATACACAATTTACAAATGCGCAGAGACAGTTGATAATAGGGTAATCTCAGAAAACGACATGGGCTATACCTGTTACATTCGCGAATACGGATTTATATAATTAAGATAGGAGTAAGGTAATCATAGGAGAAAAACAACGGGTATGAATAATACACCGTGAATACGGGAGATAACGAATTACATAACTAAGTTAACATTTTTAATA